CCTGACATGGATCCCGAGCTGCTTGCAGGAGCCGTCAGGGAAGCTACAAGCAGCTGCATGGAGTCTACAGAGCTGCATGGAGCTGCATGGAGACTGCATGGAGTCTACAAAGCCCCGGGCCAGCTTGTTGCCAGCAGCATGTGCATGTGCGCCTCAAAGCAGAGAATAGGGAAGGGGCCAGGGCTGCACTGCCACAACAAGGATTAAGCCCCTCGTGGTTCCTCCACAATCCACCCCAAGGTGCATGTGCTAAGCAAAACGCTTTGGCATGTGTGCTGGGGGTTGCCTACCCATGGTCTGGTGACAGCCTTGGGCCTATGGTGTATGGGGTTTCTGTGCTTTTGACTCAGAATCAGTAAAGTCCTTCAGTATGTGCTTCCCTTTAAGCATCCCAGTAACTCCACTGGGGCCATGCAGCAGAACCCCCTGGCACAGCTTAGTGGAACTAATTACAGGTGAGGAAAGAGCGAGACGTGACCATGAAAATGTTAAACTGCAAATGGCCCCTTACAAAGGCCTAAGTCTGATTTGCTCATGGCTCATGTTAAGAAATTCTGCGATATCAGCGAGTTTTCATAAGGCATTTTATAAGTGGCAAGATCTAATTACACCAACATGTGGAGAAGAAAACGAATGGTTTAAAATTTTTATTAAAATTCTCTCAGGAGGTCCCCTTAAAATGATTTCCAGCGTACTGCTGGGATTCTCTCTCACATACAGAGTTAGAAGTATATTACGGCTTCTGTCTGTTCTCAGGGAGAATGCAAGCTGTATCATTGCTAAAAAATGGTACAGAGTCTTTTATCTATCTCTTGAAAAGGGAATGTGACACTACCAGTACCATGCTTCCATTATTTCTGTTTATTAACTGAAACTTTGGCTATTAAGGGATGTTGCAGTGCAGAGTCCCTAGTAGCTTTGCGTTCTCCCCAGGCACCAAGAAGGGCCCGATTCTGCTGGGTTCTCCATCACCTCCCATTGTGGTCAGGGTCATTCAGCGGCTCTCAGCACACTACAGAACAGGCTGTACAAGAACACTATTGGCATTAAGCTCAACTACTTCATTTTCATTTTTCAGAGTCACCCAGCAATGCTGACGTTTGTAATACAAGCTGAAAGTAAGCAATTGGTCATCAGTCTGGAGAGAAACGAGTAAGTAAATCTGATTTGTATTCACTGCACATTGGAGGCACTAGCAGAGGGTTTAAAGTTTTTAAGATTGATAGTTTGTATAAAGCTTGGAACCGTGGGCAAATCTACTATGCAGCACTTCAAGGAACAGGCTCCTGACCATAAATATTTCATTCCAGTTTATATTCTGGGTATGTTAATCCTGCTTACCATTGTGTCACAATTTAGCCTGTGTGTGACTCTGAAGAGAAAAATAGTCCTTCTCAATGTTTTCCTTTTTTCTCATCCTTGTTGTTTTTCTGCAGTAACCCCACTATTTACACTGTAAAGGAAAACCCCGCAGACCCTGAAGCATCTTTCTGGAGGGCTTGGCCCTTCCTGATACTCCTCCCCATGGACATTGGCTTACTGCCTATGCATACATCCCACCCCTGATATGTAGGGTAAGAGACAAACAGCCCATTTTACCCCCTGCTGGAAATCTCAGTGGGAGTTTCACAAGTTTGTTGGATGGAGCCAGAGATGTTACATAAAGCAGCTGGCCCCTGGCTTGGCCCCACCCTTCCTGATGACATGATCCTCACAAACTGCAAAGCCCTGTTTGCTTTTCAGTACAGCAGAGCTTTATAGGGCTGCTGAGATGCTCCCTTCCAACTGTTCACTCTCTTCAACTCATACTGGCCATATTGGACTGCTTTTATCCAAGTTTCTGCATTTCCCAGTAGCTGTAAGATAAGCCCTGGACTAAACATAATGAAATTGTGTGGTTCTCTTTGGCATCACTGTACCAGTCCACTATTATTGGATTGAAGTCAGGGCTCCTAGCTCCAAAGCATTATATATGTATATAGAAGCAAAGGGGTCCTATTTTGAATAGTTTACAGCAATTATGTAAGACAGACAGAGGATGAGGAACAGACATCATAGAGAAGTTATGTACCGTACCCAAAGTCAGCAAAGGTCTGTGGCAAAACCAGTAATTAAACACAGATTATCAAGTTTTAACTATGAGACCACCTTTCGCTTTGAGGGATAACATCACATGCCAACAGTAAATAATCAAAGTTAACAGAAAATATCTTAAAGCGTTTGGTACAAAATTCTATATATTTGTGTTAAAGTCGATATCAAGGGACACATGCATCCTATGGTACCCTCTTCCCTATAATAGTAATTTGAGGGGAAACAGCTTTTGTAGGTTTTGTTGCTTTTAAAATCTAACAACAATTGCTTTCTCAGTCCTTGGAGATACTAAAAACACTAAGAAAGAGAAGAGTTTGTGAAAGCAGAAGCCTACAGTAGGAAAGGTATGCTGCCCTTAAGCTCATGCTAAGTGATCCAAAGTGGAATTCATTTGGGTAACTCTTTACTTCTTTACATTAAAATTGGGAATAATGCTTTTTATTACCCGGCAACTGGATGACCCTGACACCACCATCTGTGGCACAGAGTCCACTTCACTCTGATAGTCCATGTTATGTCCAAATCATAATGCTCGTTGATTTGCAGTGGTTCTTAGTAGTTCATTTCCTATCTTTGAAACAAACTGCAGATTGCACATTCTGGGGTTATTCAGTTCCAATTGAATTGCAGCAAAGGGGGAATTAATTTTCTGAGTAAATGTGGGTTTAGTTTTTTATTCTTTTAGTATTTGACAAAGGGTGTGCCTTGTTTCTGGAATGTCAAGTATGCTGCAATTGAAGAAACTATTTTCATTCCCCCTTAAAGATTAAAAGAACATAAAACCACTTATATTGCAGATGGTGGACATATTAAATTCTGTTGTACCTGCAATAAACCATTAAATTTAGGTAACTTCAGGATTGTGATTTCCATCTTCTGTATGAGATAAACAGAAGACAGGACAGCATATTAATCAGTGGGACAACTTGCTTGACTAGCACAGATGTCGATATGATGGGTCAGTCTTTTCTTTAAGGCATTCATTCATTTACTACTTGTTTCTCTGATTTATTTGCTTTTACTGTGAACTTTTCAGAGCCAAAATTTTATCTTCTAGTATGTTTGTACAGCACCCAGCACAGTGGGTCTCTGACCCATTAACATATACCTGAACTAGTTAATATACATTTAACGTTGGTTGCCTCTGGAGCTTGTAAAATATGGTGCTGTTGAGAGATCCCAACCACATAAATAGCTAGTCATAGATACCGTATATCTCTTTGCCCTTGGAAAAATAATTGGTTTAATTTCAACAAGGCATTTACAATTTATTTTTTGCATTTCATTAAAAAATGTAAGTCCATATTCAGGAAATCAAGCTCAAAAATCAAGGCTATAATGGCATATGTTCATTCAGTCACATCATTCGCTTGGTTGAGCAATTTTGGCAAAGACAAGTGTCATGTAAATTGCTTTGCATTTGTACTGCATCAATATCTTTATCTATTTGTTGTTACTCCATATGTGCATGGTTTTTTGCAAGTAGATAAGAAGAAATAATCCATGCTGTACAGAGCAGAGCAGTGGCTTGGCTCTTTGCCCACAGAAATTGATAGTTGCATTTCCATGGGTTGGAATTGTGCAGTAGTGGGTACTATGCTGCGGTGTGTTATGTAAACATAGGATGGTGGGATATGAGTAGCAAGAGAAGATGTGACACACTTTGAAAGTTTGGAATATTTAACATGGGCATGCAGCTGCTGCTTGATACCAAGAGTTCTGGGAGGTCTTGGGGTCAGGATCTTGAGGTCATAACCAAAAGTCTTCCAAGAGTGGCAACAGGATAGATATAACATTTTCTAGGGCCAGAATTACACTTTTGGAAGATAATTTCTCCTGGAGTTTTCCTGTAACAAAAAGACCAGTCCATATCTGTTCACAGACCTGCCTAAGCATTCTGTCATAAGCCACCACTGTAGTTGCTTTTGCAAATCTACAAAAGCACAATGGATCTGTTGTACTTAATCTGTTGTACGTAATCCTACCCCGCACAAGTCAGTCCATCTTGCTGACAGCTCAGTAGCTGCACTAGGACTGATCCTTTACTGCCCTAGAATCTTCCTGAAAGGCTACTCCAACCTGTATAGCTGAACCACAGTAAATTAACACTCAACTGATTATCCTTCATTTATTATAATGAGTTGTATGGTTTTCTAGGGCGTAGTGCCTCTAAGTTCTCTCATCGTCTCCAGTAGTGAAGAGTTATCTGTTTGGAGAGATGTCTGCAGGGTCACAAAAAGCAGGGAGCAGTGCAGTAGCACAAGATTTTCATGGCCCACTCTCCTTGGGTTAGGATTTGATGGATCCCAGTAACCATTGCCTATGAGCATACGCAGGGTACAATATAGCTGAGGTTGGAAGCTGGAAGATATTGATTCAGTTTCCCTTTGCCACAGTCTCCTGCCTTCTGTCTGTGTCCCACATTGTTCATCCATTTGTAAAGTGGAGATAATACTTGCTTCACTTAGGTGCTGAGATTTAATTAATTAAGAAAGGCATTTGAAATCCTTGGATGAAAAGCACTGAAGAGGCACAGAATAAAAAGTTCCAATAGTAATCTCCTGGAGAGTACATTTTAACATATGAAAAACAAAGTGGCCGTTACCAAGATCTCGCTGTGGACTGTTGAAATAAACATTAAATGGGCATGCTTTAGATAAAAGCAAAATAGCAAGTACAAACATCTTTTCAACAACAAAAATGAAGTCCTGACACACATGCTCTTTTACTTTACTGGCTATTGTTTCATGTAAAACATGCTATTCTTTGAGGAAATGGGGAGAGGGGGGAAACCCTAAACTACATAATTCCTGCATTGGGTCATGCAAAGACTGAATATAGTTTTCCATACTTAGCAGAAACAGCTGCTTTGAGTAGGCTTAACATTAAAACCCATTTAGTAAAAACCATAGAGATTTTCCAAAGCTAGAATTGTATTTCAAGGCATGATTCAGATGCATTAGCCAAACCAACTGAGGATTGATGTGTTAAACCATCTGTTATCTGTGGAAATATTTAATGCCACATTGGTGTTTGCTGATTTTTAAAAACAGAAGAAGTGTTTGCATTTTGTTTTTGTGACAGCACTTATAATTGGACGTGGTAAGTATTCATAGCTTAACATTTCGGATTTTCTTGATTGTCTCCAACTGTTACATCCTTTACGTTGCCCCACCTACATGCTTATGAAATATTTTA